TTCCTTCACAAGGCGATTAGTTTTCTATAGGTAAGCCGGTAAGAAATTTGGTTCATTGTGTGCTGCTAGACATTTTTTCACTCCAGAACCAATCTTGAATATCTATAACTCCACCATTCGTCCATGCTTATATATATATATATATATATATATATATATATATATATATATATATATATATGTTAAGAAATGGACAAGGTCCGACAATTTATTTATTAAAGACATTATGTTTAACGTTGTTATTTATAGATACTATAAATAACAACGTTAAATATAAAATGTTTTTATATATATATATATATATATATATATATATATATATATATATATATATATATATATATATATATATATATATATCCCTAGTCAAAATCTTAATGATGAAAAAGTATAAAATACTGTTACTTTAATCAAAGTATATTTATGAAACTTTTTTACATTTAGTTAGAAAATGTAATTTATTAATATATATATCCCTAGTCAAAATCTTAATGATCAAAAAGTATAAAATACTGTTACTTTAATCATAGTATATTTGCGAAACTTTTACATTTATTTAGAAAATGTAATTATTAACAAGGGTAAATTTTATGCTTTTAATCGATTAATTTAAATAAACATTGAAAAAAAAAGATTTTTGGTTGATCATAAAAGTAAGACCGTGTGTGGAAAAAAACAAATTACTGGAGAAAAATTGTACAATTAGTGTGCTCATACCTTTAGGCCTGTAGACATATACATAGCTCATTTCCAGTTTTACATTTCAGCTTTTAAAATGGCTAAGGGTAAAATTTTATCAAAGTTCGAACTAGACAGGATTGTTGAATTTGAAAGACGCGGTCTTTCGCAATGAGCCATTGCAAATGAAATTGGCCATAGCAGAACTTTCATTGCTAACTTCCTTAAAAAGCCGGATGCGTATGCTACTAAAAAATCAAGCGGTCGCCCCAATAAAATCTCACTATCTCTAGACAGACGCATTAGGCGAGAAGTTAAGAGATATTCAAGCCTAACATTAAATCAGATAAAAGCGAACACAGATGCTGAATGCAGCTCTCGAATAATTCGACGGCATTGAAATAAGAAAGGGTTTAAGAACTTGAAACGGCTGCAGAGACCTCGCCTTCTTTTTCTCCATAAAACCTCTTGTTTACAATTTGCTCCCGATTATCAAACTTAGAATGTGGATAAATAGAAGAAAGTGTTGTTGTCAGACGAGAAAAAATTAAATCTTGATAGCCCATACGTTTTTCAGCGTTACTGGCATGCAAAAGATGTCCCAAAAGAAATTTTCCTAACACAACACAGTCGAAGTGGATCAATTATGGTCTGGGGTTCATTTTCGTACAATGGAACTCTTGAGTTACAGGAGGTATAAGGTCGGCAAACAGCATCTAGTTACATTGACATGTTAAAAAAAAGCATCGCTAATTACAGAAAGCCCTCATCTATGTGGAGAAAACTGGAGTTTGCAGCAGGACTATGCTGCAATCCACAACGCTCATCAGATCGAAACCCAATCAATAATGTTTGGGATGGATGGTAAAGGATGTTTATAAACATGGATCGCAATTTGAAACTGTCGATTCTCTTCGTACTGAAGTTTATTCATCCTGGCCGAGCATCCCAAGCACCCTCATACAGAATATAATAATGAGTATGTCAAAGCGAATTTTCGAAGTAATTCACAAAAATGGAGGATATACTAACAATTAAATCGTTGTGTCTTATTTGTTCTGTATTTGCTATTTTTATTTACATGGTCTTTATGACCATCCAGAAGAAATCCTTTTTTCAATTTTTGTTTAATTGATCAATTTAATTTAATCAATTAAAAGTTAAAATATTCACTTGTTTCCTGATAAAATATATTTTCTAATTAAATGTAAATATTTCGAAAATATATTTTGATTAAAGTAACAGTATTTTATGAAATGGAAAAAGTCCGACAATTATTTTAAGACATTTTTTTCATGTTCATACGTTCCTTTTATAGATACAAATATTTAAGTAAATGCTCTGTTTAAAAATAAACAGTATTAATGACATTTTCCGGCCTGAATGTCCGACTATTTTCTATGAAAATATGCTTCCTCCGTAAGAACGTATAAATATAAAAAAATGTCTTAAAATAATATTTGGTCTTTGTCCATTTCATAATGTGTGATGTCATTTTTTTTTTTACATTTGGATACGCATCGAGCATATGAATGTACGAGAGAAAATCCTGGAGAATTGTAGTTTAAAAACAGTAAAATCGACCTTGCAAACCGAAACGTTCCTCTGTGGCTCAATCGGTAAAAGCACGTCCGGCTATATGACGGTTCCGTATAGAATACAGGTTCGATTCCTGTCGGAGGAGGCATATTTTCTTTGAAAATAAATATGTGTGTCTATAAAAAGAATGTATAAAAATGTCTTAAAATACCAGTGTATTATATATTTTAACTCTTTTTTTGCATCTGGTTTTAAGATTTTGAACAGGTGTGTGTGTGTGTGTGTGTGTGTGTGTATATATATATATATATATATATATATATATATATATATATTCTGTAATTCTCAAAACTGTACGTTTAAACTGTTTCAGTGAATATGTCCTGTCAATTGAAAAAAAAAACTGTTTTTTTTTCTTCTACCCAGGTTACGACTTACTTATTTTACCTTGAACATTCCAATTTCTGTCTTTGCCCAGATCGCTTCTCTGCCCGTCGTTCACAAATCATTAAATGCGTAAATATCGACAGAGGAATTAAATAATAAAAAAAAAAGAAACATCTATTTTCTTTATTGCCGAACCCAGCGTGCTGAAGCGTTATGGCCAGCTGAATGGTATGCTGAATACCGAGTTTTTGCTGTCTTCACTCTGCGACTAGCAATGTCGGAAATTTTAATGTGTCTGCCGCGGTAGCATGTGTAGTCATCGTAAACGATATTCTGAATATGCGTGGAGGCCATTTTGAATTAGTTTCTAGACCATGATGTTTTTGCCGTTGTTTGACTTCGAAGACTTTCACAAAAATAAGATGTAGGTTAAAAAGATATCTTATTCCAAGGGAAATAAGATAGCACGGGCTATTTCGTCTTTTCTTAGACTCTTGTTTAGTTTTGGTAGTTGAAAGAGTTGCTAAAGCGGAAAATGATATATAAGGAAAGAAACAAAATGAGAGAGGGATGAATGAAAAATACAAATAAAAGAAAATAATTAAAAAAAGAAAAACACAGAAATAGAAAGACAGAAACAAAACAAGTGAAAGAAAGAGAAAGAGAGAGAAACGAAAAAATAAGAATGAAAAGATTTGTGAATAAACAAAAAAAAAATGGTAGAACAAGAAAGAGGAAGAAAGAAAAACAAAGGAAGGAAAAGAAAGATAAAAACAAAACAAAGGAAAAAACAGAAATATAAAGAAAAAACAAAGAAAGAAACATAAATAAAAAGAAAAAAACAAACTAACGAAGGAAGGAAATGAAGGAGAAAGAAAGAAAAAAACAAAGGAAGGAAAATAAAGATAAAGAAGAAAACAAAGGAAAAAAAAAGAAATATAAAGAAACAAACAGAAAGTAAGAAAAAGAGAGAGAAATTTAAAAAAAAAAGAAACATAGGAAGAAAAAGTAATAAAAATCAAAGAAAAATAAGAGAAGGAAAAGTAAGACAAAAATACAAAAAACAGGGGAAGAAAAAGAAAGAGAAATTAACAAATGCTTAGGAAAAAAGACATAAAAAGAAACAAGTACAAAGGAATGGAAAGAAATATAAAAAAAAACGAAAACAAAGGAAGAAAAAGGGAAAGAAAAAGCATAGGAAGGAAAAGAAAGAAAAGGAAACAGAACAAAGAAAGAAAAAGAATGAGAAAGAAACACAAAAAAAGAAGAAGAATTAAGACAGAGAAACAAAAACAACGGAAGAAAAAGAAACAAAAAAGAAACAACAAAGATACAAAAACAAAGGGAAACAAAGAAACAAAAACAGGAAGAAAAAGAAACAAAAACAAAAGAAGAATTGAAAGACAATGAAACAAAACCAAAGGAAGGGAAATAAAGGACACCTTCAAATTCTGTTTTTGCGATGTTTTTTTTTATTACCCAGCCCAGGATTTGAACTCTGAATTACTATGTCACCAAGTTCAACAGTTTCGTCCACGCCAAACTGTTTTGAATTTGTAGTTTTCTTTCACTTTTTTGGACTAAATAAAGGGTTCGGTTCGAAATTACAGTCACCTGAAGAAGGCCAGAGCGTACAACGGCCGAAACGCCGTGAATATGGCAATAAAGATGAAGACAACAGGCCGTCGATGTAAATGTCAATAATTACTATACTTCATCTCAGAAATATAGACAAACGAATAAATATTTCTAAATCTAATATTCTATTGTTTTTTTTCAACATTCATCCCATTTATGAAGTAACCAAAATAAAGAACCACCTGAATCCATCCTCCCAAAAAAAACTGACGAATTACTAAATACTAAACTCTTCAGACATCTTCAGCTATAATAAAAAGACGCACTGCGAAAAAAACATATGAAACAAAAAGAAAAAAATAATTAAAAAGAGAAAAAAGAACACATGAAAGAAACAAAAGAAAGCAAGTAATGGGAAATTTAGGGAAGAAACATAACATACAAGAACACAAAGAAAGAAAGAAAGAAAGAAAGAAAGAAAGAATGTAAGGAAGGAAGGAAAGAAGAAAGAAAAGAAGGAAGGAAGAAAGAAAGGAAGGAAGGAAGAAAGAAAGAAAGGAAGAAGAAAGAAAGAAAGAGAGAAAGAAAGAAAGAAAGAAAGAAAGAAAGAAAAGAAGAAAGAATGGAAGAAAGAAAGAAAGAAAGAAAGAAAGGAATGAAGAAAGAAAGAAAGAAAGAAAGGAAGGGAGAAAGAAAGAAAGAAAGAAAGAAAAGAAGAAAGAATGGAAGAAAGAAAGAAAGAAAGAAAGAAAGAAAGAAAGAAAGGAAAAATACATGCAGAAAATCCGAAGGTGAAAAATACAATGAAGTGAAGTGTCTCAGCCTGGTAAATCGTTACTAATGGGACAATCAGTGAGGATCGAACTCGTATAAAGGAATGAAATAATGAAAGAACTTAACAGAAAGAAAGGAATATGAAGATAGAAAAGTTGAAAAATACACTGAAAGAAAGAGCAAAGGAAATATAAAAGAAAATATGAGTAAATCTGGAAAAGAATACAAAGAAATAAAACAGGTAAAATAAAATTGGAAGAAAGAAAGAAAGAAAGAAAGAAGGAGAGAAAAAAGAAAGAAAAGAATGAAAGAAAAAAGCAAGAAATGGAAAAATATATGCAAAAACCACAAAATCTAAAACACATGGAGAAAGAAATAATGAAGCAAAGAAAGAAAAAATATATAAAGAAACAAAAAGTATGAAACAAGAAGAAAGGGGAAATGTATGCAAAAATCACAAAGTATAAAATCAAGAAGGAAAGAAAAAGGAAAAGTAAGAAAGAAAAAATGAATGGAAGAATAATGGGAAAATGGAGAATGTATGGAACAACTCCAAAATATAAAGCTTAGAAAGAAAGAAAGAATGAAAAAAAGAAAGGAAAAAGAATGAAAAAAGAAAGAAGAAAGAAAGCAAGAAAGAAATGAAAAAGAAAGAAAAAAGAAAGGAAAGAAGAAAGAAAGAAAAAGAAAGAAAACAAAGAAAAAGAAAGAAAACAAAAAAGAAAGAAAAGAAAAAGAAAGAAGCAAAAAGCAAGAGAGAAGAAGAAAAAAAGAAAAAAAGAAAGAAACGCAGAATGAAAAGAGGACAGGATGAAAAAGAAAGAAAGCAAAAGAAGAGAAGAAAGAAAGAAAAAAGAAAAAAAAATGAATGCAAAAGAAAGAAAGAAAAAAAGGAAGCGAAAGTAAAAGAAAGAATGAAAACGAAAGAGAAAAATAAAAATAATGAAAGACTGAAAAAAAAGAAGAAAAAATGAAGGAAAAAGGAAAAAAGAACGACAGACCGAGAAAAGAAAGAACGAAAGAAACCTGAAAAATTAAGAGAGAAGAGAATAGCATAACATGCCAGTATTTGGTAAGTTTATCTTAGCACAACGCCAAATCTAATGGGACATGCAATGAGAATCGAACTCCCTCAATTACCGAATAGAAAAGAGTGAAGGAATGAAAGAACGAAGGAAATTCAAACAAAGGAATGGGAAACACATGGAATAAAATCAAGCTTGGAAAACTTGGGGAAAAAGACAGAAAAAAAGGAAAGATCAGGAAATTCTAATAAAAAATACATTAAAAATCTGGAAAGAATTACAGAGAAAGAAAAAAAAAGCCTAAAATGAATATAGAAAAAGAAAAAGAATGAGGAAAGAAAGAACGAAAGAAAGAAAAAAGGTAGGAAATAAAGAAACAAAGAAAGAATAAAAAAAGGTGAGAAAGAAAAATGAAAAAAAAGAATCAAAGGAAGAAAAAAAAAGGAAAATTGTAAAGAAAGTAAAAAAAAAAAGAAAGAAAGAAAAAGAAAGAAAAGAAGGAAAGAAAGAAAAATGGAAGAAAGAATAAATGAAAAAAAGGAAATAAATAAAGAAAGAAAAAGAGAAAGAAAGATAGAAAGAAAAAGGGAATGAAGGAAAAATAAGGGTAAAAAGTAAAGAAAGAAAGAAAGGAAAAAGAAAGTAAGAAAGACAGAAAGAAAGAAGAAAAAGAAAGGAAAAAGAAAAGAAAGAAAGGAAAAGAAAAGATCAGGTAATATAAACAAAAATATATTTACATCTGAAAAATCCAGAGAAAAATAATAAAAACAATATAGAAACAAAGAAAGAAGGAAATAATGAAAGAAGAAAAGGGAATAATAAAAAGAAATGGAAAGAAAGAAAGAAAAATGAAAGTAAAGAAAGAAAGAAAGAAAGAAGGAAAGAAAATAAAGTATTTTGAAATTTAAAAGGAAATGCATAAAGAAAAGAAAAAAAGGAAAAAATGAAAAAAAGAATGAAACGAATAAAGAAAGAATCAAAGAAAGAAAGGAAAAAGAAAAGAAAGGAATAAAGAAAAAAAGAAAGAATAAAATGGAAAAGAAAGAATGAAAGACAAATATAATAAAGTGGGGATTGGAGAATACGCCATTCGAAGGACGTATCGAAGGCAAAAGTGACAGATGGAGACTTCAGGTGACCTCACTGACATGCATGTGTCAATGAATGGCGTAATTGTTGGTGGTTTAAAGCCAAAGTTAGAGATATAAATGATAGGAGGTTGTGGAGAGTCATGATCACTTACATCCTGAAGGCTCTTAGAAAAAAGCTCATTTAAATATTTCGCATGAATTTAAAGAGAAACGAGAGTGGTTGCCAGATGAAAAATTAGACAAAGAAAGAATATAGAAAAAATGAAAAAAATAATGACAAAAAATGGTGACGAAAGACAAAGGGAAAACAAAAAATAATAAAAAAACAAAGATGGAGACTTTGAAAGAAAGAAATTCCTTCAAAAGGAGAAATAATTGTAAAAAGAAAATTAATATAATTTAAATTTAAAAAAAAACAAACAAACAGAATATAAGTAAATTTAAAAGAAAAGGTCAATTAATTATAACTAATCTCCCGAATCTGTTACTTACCCGTGCCAAGCTCGGTAGAGTAATCGATAGCGGCTCAGAGTGAGGAATTCCCAGTCGAATCCATTCATTACATTCAGTTACCTGCTTATAAAATCGGGAAAGGTATGAATCCTCTTCTTCTTCTCCCCCCTCCCCCCGCCAGCTATGGTTAAATAGAACAGACCGCGTTCTCGATAGATTTGCATGACAACTGGTCTACAGCAGAAAGAAAAGGTAACCCACTGCGGGGAAAATTCTACCTCGTCAGTCATGTATCTTTCGATACATGATCATGTAAGCCTGTATCACGCATAGCCCATAACTAACAGAATCTGCCAAAATGAAATTTGAATCACTGTCTGCGAACGAAAGAATTAAAGAATGAAAGAAAATTAAAAGAAAGAAAGCAATGGGAAACACATAGAATAAAATGAAGCCTGGAAAAGTTCTGCGGACAAAAAAAAATGACAGAAAGACGTGAGTAAAGGAAAAATCTGCCAAAATGAAATTTGAATCGCTGTCTGCGATTGTGGTTCTATTTTCAATCGATTCTCTTGTCAATAACATTTTAAAAGGATTCACACATTTCGCGTTTACATCATCTGGCCAATCATCCTCTACTGGCACTTCTGTGTTAATCGGTGGCAAACAATTCTAATTAAGTCGATTAGCTACAGCCAATCAGAGAGAGCAAAATTAGCAAGCAATAAGGCCGACCACTGAACCGATTCTCTCTTTCCCAGTCACCGGTTCAACCATCAGGCACTCAATAGTGAGTAGTTCTTTAAATTCACCATAAGGACAGTCTTCAAAGGATAATGGGATAACGGAGAATGAAGATAAAACAGAGACAAATAACATCACTTAAGGAATTCCATCATCTGCAACAACTAAAGTGGATAGCAGATTTAACTCGAAGAGAAAATAATCCCATATTCAAGATTTTGATATTCCACACGATTACAAAGAAAAAGGTTAGGAAAGAAACCGCCATCATTATTGAGAATAGTGATAAAAGTTACTGGACTTGAGTAACCTCTTTACATGAAGAAAATGGTTTTATTTTATAAATTTCAAAAGAACTTATCACTGGCTGCTCGATTAATAAATGCCGAATGTTTCCTAATGAGAAGAGGGCTAATATTACCGATACCATTGAAAAATGTTTAAATAATCCGGGGCCCAGATAAATATTTTGATAAGATTCGATACCTGCATATAACAATTGTTACAGTCTCTCAGAGGATGAGCCCTGTGATGTAATGGATATCATTCCCGAATGACAAAATCTTCAAATGCTCTTTTCCAACATGCCTTGAGCCAGCATGGAAGAGTAAGCTCATAAAGTTAACATGAAAATAATATAATTGCGGAGTAAGTGTTTGTTTTAGAATTCGAAAAGAAATTTATTGTAACAAAACAAGTTCAGATGAGCACTGATCACAATTCCGGAACAACGTAACTATAAACATTTTTTCAGTCCTCTGCCAGCCGCAATGATGGAGAAAGCATTACCTCGAGAAGAGCGATCCGTATAGTAATAGAGGATAGTGTAGAAATAGTGAGCAGTTTAGAGAAATAGTATAGTGAATAGTATGGAGAATAGCGATCCGCATAGTAATAGAGGATAGTGTAGATAATATTGAACAGTGTAGAGAAATTGTATAGTGAATAGTATGGAGAATAGCGATCCGTATAGTAATAAAGGATAGTGTAGAAATAGTGAGCAGTTTAGAGAAATAGTATAGTGAATAGTATGGAGAAGAGCGATTCTTATAGTAATAGAGGATAGTGTAGAAATAGTGAACAGTTTAGAGAAATAGTATAGTGAATAGTATGGAGAATAGCGATATGTATAGCAATAGAGGATAGTGTAGAAATAGTGAGCAGTTTAGAGAAATACTATAGTGAATAGTATGGAGAATAGCGATCCGTATAGCAATAGAGGATAGTGTAGAAATAGTGAACAGTATAGAGAAATAGTATAGTGAATAGTATGGAGAATAGCGATCCGTATAGCAGTAGAGGATAGTGTAGAAATAGTGAGCAGTTTAGAGAAATAGTATAGTGAATAGAATGGAGAATAGCGAACCGTATAGCAGTAGAGGATAGTGTAGAAATAGTGAGCAGTTTAGAGAAATAGTATAGTGAATAGTATGGAGAATAGTGACCCGTATAGTAATAGAGGATAGTGTAGAAATATTGAACAGTGTAGAGAAATAGTATAGTGAATAGTATGGAGAATAGCGATCCGTATAGTAATAGAGGATAGTGTAGAAATAGTGAACAGTTTAGAGAAATAGTATAGTGAATAGTATGGAGAATAGCGACCCGTATAGTAATAAAGGATAGTGTAGAAATAGTGAGCAGTTTAGAGAAATAGTATAGTGAATAGTATGGAGAATAGCGATCCGTATAGCAATAGAGGATAGTGTAGAAATATTGAACAGTGTAGAGAAATAGTATAGTGAATAGTATGGAGAATAGCGATCTGTATAGCAATAGAGGATAGTGTAGAAATAGTGAGCAGTTTAGAGAAATAGTATAGTGAATAGTATGGAGAATAGCGACCCGTATAGTAATAGAGGATAGTGTAGAAATATTGAACAGTGTAGAGAAATAGTATAGCGAATAGTATGGAGAATAGCGATCCGTATAGTAATAAAGGATAGTGTAGAAATAGTGAGCAGTTTAGAGAAATAGTATAGTGAATAGTATGGAGAATAGCGATCCGTATAGTAATAAAGGATAGTGTAGAAATAGTGAACAGTTTAGAGAAATAGTATAGTGAATAGTATGGAGAATAGCGATCTGTATAGCAATAGAGGATAGTGTAGAAATAGTGAGCAGTTTAGAGAAATAGTATTGTGAATAGTATGGAGAATAGCGATCTGTATAGCAATAGAGGATAGTGTAGAAATAGTGAGCAGTTTAGAGAAATAGTATAGTGAATAGTATGGAGAATAGCGATCCGTATAGCAATAGAGGATAGTGTAGAAATAGTGAGCAGTTTAGAGAAATAGTATAGTGAATAGTATGGAGAATAGCGATCCGTATAGCAATAGAGGATAGTGTAGAAATAGTGAGCAGTTTAGAGAAATAGTATTGTGAATAGTATGGAGAATTCGATCTGTATAGCAATAGAGGATAGTGTAGAAATAGTGAGCAGTTTAGAGAAATAGTATAGTGAATAGTATGGAGAATAGCGATCCGTATAGCAATAGAGGATAGTGTAGAAATAGTGAGCAGTTTAGAGAAATAGTATAGTGAATAGTATGGAGAATAGCGATCCGTATAGTAATGGAGGATAGTGTAGAAATATTGAACAGTGTAGAGAAATAGTATAGTGAATAGTATGGAGAATAGCGATCCGTATAGTAATAAAGGATAGTGTAAAAATAGTGAGCAGTTTAGAGAAATAGTATAGTGAATAGTATGGAGAAGAGCGATTCTTATAGTAATAGAGGATAGTGTAAAAATAGTGAGCAGTTTAGAGAAATAGTATAGTGAATAGTATGGAGAAGAGCGATCCGTATAGCAATAGAGGATAGTGTAGAAATAGTGAGCAGTTTTGAGAAATAGTATAGTGAATAGTATGGAGAATAGCGACCCGTATAGCAATAGAGGATAGTGTAGAAATATTGAACAGTGTAGAGAAATTGTATAGTGAATAGTATGGAGAATAGCGACCCGTATAGTAATGGAGGATAGTGTAGAAATATTGAACAGTGTAGAGAAATAGTATAGTGAATAGTATGGAGAATAGCGATCCGTATAGTAATAAAGGATAGTGTAAAAATAGTGAGCAGTTTAGAGAAATAGTATAGTGAATAGTATGGAGAAGAGCGATTCTTATAGTAATAGAGGATAGTGTAGAAATAGTGAACAGTTTAGAGAAATAGAATATTGAATAGTATGGTGAATAGCGATCCGTATAGCAATAGAGGATAGTGTAGAAATAGTGAGCAGTTTAGAGAAATAGTATAGTGAATAGTATGGAGAAGAGCGATCCGTATAGCAATAGAGGATAGTGTAGAAATAGTGAGCAGTTTTGAGAAATAGTATAGTGAATAGTATGGAGAATAGCGACCCGTATAGCAATAGAGGATAGTGTAGAAATATTGAACAGTGTAGAGAAATTGTATAGTGAATAGTATGGAGAATAGCGATCCGTATAGGAATAAAGGATAGTGTAGAAATAGTGAGCAGTTTAGAGAAATAGTATAGTGAATAGTATGGAGAAGAGCGATGCTTATAGTAATAGAGGATAGTGTAGAAATAGTGAACAGTTTAGAGAAATAGTATAGTGAATAGTATAGAGAATAGCGATCTGTATAGGAATAGAGGATAGTGTAGAAATAGTGAGCAGTTTAGAGAAATAGTATAGTGAATAGTATGGAGAATAGCGATCCGTATAGCAATAGAGGATAGTGTAGAAATAGTGAGCAGTTTAGAGAAATAGTATAGTGAATAGAATGGAGAATAGCAATCCGTATAGCAGTAGATGATAGTGTAGAAATAGTGAGCAGTTTAGAGAAATAGTATAGTGAATAGTATGGAGAATAGCGATCCGTATAGTAATAGAGGATGGTGTAGAAATAGCGATCAGTATGTAGAAAAAGTATAGTAAATAGTATGGAGAATAGCGATCCGTATAGTAATAAAGGATAGTGTAGAATATAGTGAGCAGTTTAGAGAAATAGTATAGTGAATAGTATGGAGAAGAGAGATTCTTATAGTAATAGAGGATAGTGTAGAAATAGTGAACAGTTTAGAGAAATAGTATAGTGAATAGTATGGAGAATAGCGATCCGTATAGTAATAAAGGATAGTGTAGAAATAGTGAGCACTTTAGAGAAATAGTATAGTGAATAGTATGGAGAATAGCGATCCGTATAGCAATAGAGGATAGTGTAGAAATAGTGAGCAGTTTTGAGAAATAGTATAGTGAATAGTATGGAGAATAGCGATCCGTATAGTAATAAAGGATAGTGTAGAAATAGTGAGCAGTTTTGAGAAATAGTATAGTGAATAGTATGGAGAATAGCGATCCGTATAGCAATAGAGGATAGTGTAGAAATAGTGAGCAGTTTAGAGAAATAGTATAGTGAATAGTATGGAGAAGAGCAATTCTTATAGTAATAGAGGATAGTGTAGAAATAGTGAACAGTTTAGAGAAATAGTATTGTGAATAGTATGGAGAATAGCGATCTGTATAGCAATAGAGGATAGTGTAGAAATAGTGAGCAGTTTAGAGAAATAGTATAGTGAATAGTATGGAGAATAGCGATCCGTATAGCAATAGAGGATAGTGTAGAAATAGTGAGCAGTTTAGAGAAATAGTATAGTGAATAGTATGGAAAATAGCGTTCCGTATATCAATAGAGGATAGTGTAGAAATAGTGAGCAGTTTAGAGAAATAGTATAGTGAATAGTATGGAGAATAGCGATCCGTATAGCAATAGAGGATAGTGTAGAAATAGTGAGCAGTTTAGAGAAATAATATAGTGAATAGTATGGAGAATAGCGATCCGTATAGCAATAGAGGATAGTGTAGAAATAGTGAGCAGTTTAGAGAAATAGTATAGTGAATAGTATGGAGAATAGCGATCCGTATAGTAATAAAGGGTAGTGTAGAAATAGTGAGCAGTTTAGAGAAAAATATAGTGAATAGTATGGAGAAGAGCGATTCTTATAGTAATAGAGGATAGTGTAGAAATAGTGAACAGTTTAGAGAAATAGTATAGTGAATAGTATGG